AAATTAAATCCAAAAAAAAGTAGAAAAGAAGTAAAAGAATTAGACAAATCAGTGAAATAGAAAACAGGAAAATAATAGAGAAAATCAATAAAAGCAAAAGCTGATTCTTTGAAAAGATCAATAAAATTGATAAGCCTCTAGTCAGGCTAAGAAAAAGAGAGAAAAGACAAAAATTACTAACATCAAAAATAAAAGTCATGATTACAGATCCAATGCATATTAAGATAATAACAAAGTAATACTATAAATAATTTTATGCTTACAGTTTTGATAACCTAGATGAAATGGACCAATTTCTTAAAGGACACAAGCTAAAGCTTACATAAGAAGAAATACACAATCTGAATAGGCCTGTGTCATTAAAGAAATTGAATCAACAATAATCTTCCAAAAAAGAAATCACAAGGCCCAAATCAATTCATTGATGAATTCTACCAAACATTTAAGAAATTATACCAATTCTCTACAATCCCTTCCAGAAGACAGAAACTGAGGGGATACTTCTTAACTCATTCTATGAAGCCAGCATTACCCTAAGAGCAAATTAAAGACACTGCAAAATAACTAGAGAGCAAGATTTCTTATGAACAAAGATGCAAAAAACCTCAACAAAATATTAGTAAATGAAATCAAACAATGAAAAAAAAAAGGATTTATATCCTATGACCAAGTGGGATTTATCTCAGATACATGAACCTTGTTCAAAATGCAAAAATCAATTAATACAATCCATCACATCTACAGGCTAAAAAAGAAAAATCACATGCTGGAGAAAAAGCACCTGACAAAATTCAACACCCATTTGCTAACACTGCACTTAATGAGAAAACAGAAGCTTTTCCACTAAAATCAGGACCAAGACAAGAATATCCCCTCTAGCCACTGCTTTTCAACATCACATTAAATATCCCAACTAATGCAATACAAGAAAAGGAAATGAGGAGCACCTGGGTGACTAGTTGGTTGAGTATCCAACTCTTGATTTCGGCTCAGGGCATAATCTCAACATCAGGAGACTGAGCCCTGCATTGGGTTCTGTGCTTGGTGTGGCGTCCAGTCCACTTGAGATATTCATTCTCTTCCCCTCCCCCTACTCATGTATACTCTTCAATTGATAAATAGATCCTAAAAAAAGAAAAAGGAGGGATCCCTGGGTGGCGCAGCAGTTTGGCGCCTGCCTTTGGCCCAGGGCACGATCCTGGAGACCCAGGATCGAATCCCACGTCGGGCTCCCGGTGCATGGAGCCTGCTTCTCCCTCTGCCTGTGTCTCTGCCTCTCTCTCTTTGTGTGTGACTATCATAAATAAATAAAAATTAAAAAAAAAAAGAAAAAGGAAAGGAAGGTATGTAGATTAGCAAGAAAGAAAGAAGTGGTCTTTGTAGATGACGTGATTATCCATCAGACAGACACTAGCATCTACTAGAAAACCTAAAAGAACTGACAAAAATTAATTGATTTAATTCTGTGTTCCTCTCTTTCTCTGTGTTTCTCATGAATAAATTTAAAAAAAAATTTTTTAAAGATTTTATTTATTTATTCATGACAGACACAGAGAGAGAAAGAGGCAGAGACACAGGCAGAGGGAGAAGCAGGCTCCATGCAGGGAGCCTGATGTGGGACTCGATCTGGGGTCTCCAGGATCACACCCCGGGCTGAAGGTGGCGCTAAACCCCTGGGCCACCAGGGCTGCCCTAAAAAAAATCTTAAAAAAAAAAGACTATAGGGATCCCTGGGTGGCGCAGCGGTTTGGCGCCTGCCTTTGGCCCAGGGCGCGATCCTGGAGACCCGGGATCGAATCCCACGTCGGGCTCCCGGTGCATGGAGCCTGCTTCTCCCTCTGCCTGTGTCTCTGCCTCTCTCTCCCTCTCTCTCTGTGTGACTATCATAAATAAATAAAAATTAAAAAAAAAAAAAGACTATAAAGTTGTAGTAATCAAGAGAGTATAAAGAATAAACATATCAACGGAACAGAATATAAAGCCTAAAAATAGACTCATAGATTGAAGTGATCCATGACAAAAGAGCAAAGGCAATTAAGACAATGGCAGAAAAACAGTGCTAGAACAACTGGACACGCAGAGGCAAAAAGTAACTCTAGATACAGACTTTAAACTCTTCAAGAAAATTAACTCAAAATGGATCGAAGACTGCAGTCTAATATTCAAAACTATACAACTCTTAGAAGATAACATAAGCAAATATCTAGATAACCTTGGGTGTGGTAAAGATTTCTTAAGATATAACACCAAAGACATGATCCATGAAAGAAATAACAGATAAGCTGGACTATATTAGGATTAAAATATGCTCCGGGGAAAAAAGGAAGACTGGAAAAAATATTTGCAAAGACATAAAAGACACACCTTGAAGATAATGGGTTCAAAATCACTGTATAATAAAAGCAAACATTGCAATAAAGCCAGTCAAATGACTCTGGTTTCCCACTGCATATAAAAGTTATGTTTACACTATGCAGTAATCTACTAAGTGTACAACAGCATTATGTTTAAACAATATACACACCTTAATTAAGAAATACTTTATTGACACACACAAAATGAGCAAATGCTGTTGAAAAAATGGCACCTGGAGGTGTGCTCAATGCAGGGTTGCCACACACCATCAATCTGCAAAAGACTCAGTATCTGCAAAGCACAATAAAGTGAAGTGCAGTAGAATGAGGTATGCCTGTATCTAATAACGGACTTTTATACAAAATATACAAAGAACTCTTAAAACTCAACAATAAGAAAAGTCTTATTAAAAATGGGCAAAAAAATAAAAAAAATTAAAATGGGCAAAAGACTTGAACAGACACCCTTAAGTATACAGAAGGCAAATAAGCATATAAAAAGATGTTAGAGGTCATCTCAGTAAGGAATTGCAACTTAAAACAAGGTATCACTAAGCACCTGTTAGAACTGCCAAAGTCTTAAACACTGACACCACCAAATGGTGGCAAGGATGTAGAGCAACAGAAACTCTCCTTCATTGTGGAATGCAAAATAATAACAGCCACTTTAGAAGACAGCTGGTGGTTTCTTATAAAACTATGCTTTTACCCTACAATCCGTAATTGGGATCCTTGGCATTTACCAAAAGGAGTTAAAAACTCATATCCACACAGAACTCCCACATAGATGCTTATAGCAGCTTTATTCATAACTGTCAAAACTTGAAAGCAACCCATAGGTAAATGGATTAATAAACTCGTACATCAAACATAGAATATTCAGCACTAAAAAAAGAAAAAAAAAGAGCTATTAAACCACACATACACACACACACACACGCACAGAGGAGACCTTTAATTACATATTAATAAGCAAAAGAAGCCATTCTGAAAAGGCTACGTACTGTAGGAGTCTAACATGACACATAGGAAGAGGTAAAACTATATGGAGACCTGAAAAGATGAGTGGTTGCCAAGGACTAAAAGGAAGGGAGACGGACAGGTGGAATACAGGGGATTTTAGGGTAGTGAAGCTATTTTATATAACGATGGATACATGTCACTATACATGTCTAAATCTATAGAATGTTCCACAGCCAAAAGTGAACCTGTATGTCAACTATTGTCTTTGGGTGATAATGACGTGTCAATGTAGGTTCATTGATTGAAACCAGTGTACCACTCTTGAGCAGGTTGTTGACAGTAGGGGAAGCCGTGTGCCTGTGTGGGGTCAAAGGGCGTATGGGAACTTTATAATTTGTTCAATTTCACTGTGAAACTAATACTGCTCTAAAAAATGAAGTCTATTTTTTTAAAAAGGCAAAAAGTGTGGTGTAGATGAGCTGATCCAAAGGAGAAATCCATGTACTGTGGCATGGAAAACTGCTAATATGAGGTACAGCTAAGGAATCAGGCCCCTTGACACCTGATCTTGTTAGAGAATGGACAACGGAAAGGCTCTTTTTACTCTTGTCCTGCCACCTCCCCCTACACATACCACAAACACTTTTAAGTAACTAGCACCTCCTCTGTCCCCACAATAGTCCACTTTTTTTTTTTTTTAAAGATTTTATTTATTTTAGAGAGAGGGACAGAGTACGTGAGTGGAGGCATGGGCACAGGGAGAAAGAATCTCAAGTAGACTCCACTTTGTGTGTGGAGCCTGATGGGGTTCGACAAGGGGTCAATCTCAGGACCCTGACATCATGACCTGAACCGAAATCAAGAGTAGGAATGCTTAACCAACTGAGCTACCCAAGTGCCCCAGTCAGATTCCACTCTCACAACCTGCTTATCTTGAAATCAAATTCACTCAGATACAATGCTGTCAATGCCTGAGCTCTGAATTATAAGGATCCAGGAGCATTCCCCTCCCAGGAGGCCACCTTCAGGGAGATTACCTATCTGGGAGGTGTAGGAATACAAAGGAGCCAGAATCTCACTTGAAACCCCATCATTTCAATATCAAAGACAAATAGGGACAAGGTCAGCCCTGCTCTGAATTTTCCAAAAGGGACCCCAACGGCTTAAGTCTGGCCTCTTTCCCCTATCCAACAGCAAGCAGAATCAAACAGGAGGGCAGCCCCAGTGGTGCAGCGGTTTAGCGCCGCCTGCAGCCCGGGGTGTGATCCTGGAGACCCTGGATCGAGTCTCATGCAGGACTCCCTGAATGGAGCCTGCTTCTCCCTCTGCCTGTGTCTCTGCCTCTCTCTTTGCTCTCTCTGAATGAATAAATAAATAAATCTTTAAAAAAAAAAAGAATCAAACAGGAAAGATCAGTACAAGGAGTCTCATGCCCTACCCTATAAAATTTCCCTGGCCATATCTTCTCTTTCCCTTTTGGGATTTTGGTTTCCCCATCTGTGCAATGGATTTAAGCTGTTCTAATAATTCATAGATCAGTACACACAGTCTTTTTTTTAAATTTAGGTGCACTTTGGTTTTTGTCCATTCGTGTGAAAAATTAAGTTAGTAGTGACTCCTTGACCCACTCCTCACTGTTCCCCACCAGCAAGCACTGAAGTAAAGAATCCTTACACCACCACAGACAATTTACTCTTTATTGATTAAAAATGAAGGAAACATGCAGCAAAATACAAAGTCAAAAAAAGGGAAGGGGGAGGTAAAATATTTTACATCTTCCATAATCTACCAGACATCATAGGAGGAACCTCCATTTATTGATACACCATTATTCTATCCTCAGATTATTAAATAGTATCAGCTGGCTCTAGGATTTGGTTCAAAACTTAAGCAAAAACCCCAAACAAATCCATCAGTCACTTAGAATAAGACCATACATTTCACAAATGACATTGGCACATGTTATCTTGTGCTAAATTAGTCTCTACCCCAAGGGACCTGGGGATCCTGGGGACCTAGAGACAGAGGTGCACCCTAAGCCACTGCTCCTGGAGAGAAGCAAGGTCGCTCACTAAGTCGCGTGCTGTCCAACCTGGGAAGTTTCTGTTCACGTATTTCCTCAGCATCACTGCTTAAGTCAGCACAGGGAGTCCACCATACATCACGCGGAAGAAGAAATAACACTGTGCTGGGGCTTGGTGTCTGGATCCTAATTCCCAGCAGGGCAAAAGCTGAACTGAAAAAGAAAAGAGAAAGCCCCAGCCCACTTCTACTGGCATGCCTGTTCCACTGCAGTTTAAGAGTAATGGCTGGCTGGAGAAACTGAAATGGGTTGCTGCTAACACCCAGCCTCGGCTCCAGACCACCTCCGAATAGAATGCTAGAACAGAATGATGCCATCACCCCTTGGATTTATCAATAAGTAGATGATGATAGCTTGCTTGAAACCAAAATACGGGCTCAAAGGTAAGCCACTAGTCCTGTGCCAAAGAGGATGCTATCTCTCTTTCACATCTTATTTCCACCAGCCTGCCCCCCATTCCTCCTACTCTCGAAAGAAAGAAAGAAAGAAAGAAAGAAAGAAAGAAAGAAAGAAAGAAAGAAAGAAAAAGAAAGAAAAAGGTAAATATTTTTCCAGCAAGCTAATCAGTCTTCTTTTCCCTCTCTAGGTTTGGCAGGCTCCTGATTTTTACCAACCCTGCTGGGACCCTGGACTTTGATCCTTTCATCTATTTTCCTTTCTTTTTTTTTTTCATCTATTTTCCTTTCAATGGCCACCCCAAACCCATACCCCCTCCTCCTCCCCAACACTCACTCCTTACTCAGTATGCCTCTGCACCCAGGGAAGGGGAAGAAAGCTCAGGACTAAAACTACAAGCTTAGAATGAAACAAGAGTTGTGGGGAAAGCTTCCGGAGATGCTCCAAGAGAAAACTAGACAAAGCAATCTTGTTATTCACAGACCAACAGTGCTGGAAAGGGCTTGAGCAATTCTATAAGAGGCAGCTCTCCCCTTTCCGTGAGGCCAAAGCCCATCTTTGTGTGTTTTAAGGCCAGATTGAGTGTCCCTTTCTTATACAAAAACTGTTTGGGCTACTTGCAGTTAGAGGCTGACTGCAAAACAGTAGGAAAGAAAATCGGCCCCACCGATTACTCACATATTGCATTATGAGTGCTCTTTTTTAAACCCAAAGAATAATTTATATTATTTCTATAGAAAATCAAATGAACACTGTCTACTCATAAATCCAAAGTCACGGCACATGTGGTTTCACTTTCCATCCTGGGTCAGGTTCAGCGCACAGAAGTGTGGACCCTCTCCAAAGGGTCAGTGCAGGAGAGGGGCGGAAGGCAGGCCTCGCTGGCCTGGTGAGTCTCCTTTATTGCTGTAGAAAGCTCAGCCTTGCATTTCCTCATGACGTGGAGGCCAGGCAAATTTTCATGGGAGGATTAAGGAGTAGTTTTTCTTCAACTGAATTTTTAAGATCCGAGAATAAATTATTCCACAATGATATGAGTTGCAATTTTTCCTGTTCAAAACCACTGCTGGGGAAATTCACTTTTACACGCCATTACTTGGTGTTTTCACTAAAAACAGTCCAAAGTTCCACTCTGAAGGGTCTGATGGCTGAAGTTCGACTACAGTCAGATGTTTTGCACCAGCTGAAGTTAAGGCTAGCAACCCTTTCTGGAGGGAGTGATGAAGAGGGGTGCCTGAGAGCAGCTTCAGCAAAACGCTTAGAAACGAACAAAACAAGAACACAGTTTAGGCTGCCTCCTTCTGAGGCTGTGCTTTTTCCTAAAAAAGGTTGCTAGAATTCACATCAGATTTAAAAAAAGAAAAAGAAAAAAAAAATCACTAAATTAAATTCTCTGGGCTCCAGATAAACAATCAATTTTTAATTGCTACTTCAGTGGTAAAGAGATATCCCAATATGCCCACATCCTGTCAGGTGTGGGAGAATAGGCAAGATGAGGAAGCCCAATATAGCTGCTACTTTCCACCCAGCGCCACCATTGGAGTAAGGCAAGATGAGCTGACAGTTCTCCCTCCTGGGCTTGGAGGCACATTTCCCATCTTAGATGGAGGAAGATAGGGAACATGTGCAGTAAGTTTACTAACGGAACTCTTTGAAGGGATGCTGGCCACTGGTGATCCAACTTTTCTTTCTCTGTGGGAAAACGGGGGAATGATGGCAAGAACATAAAGAAAGACCTCTAAAGCTCCTAGCCGGGAGGTTTGTTGCTGGGTTCTTTGGCAGTAGTGGGTTTAGGCCAACAGAAGCAACAGAGATACGCATGTATGGAATCTCCTTAGGCCACCTCTTCCAAGGCTGTGGTTTAGCTGATGCTGAGCTGGGCAAATCCTATTAGTTTACCATCATCAGGAATATCCGAGCCTTCAACACCAGATGCCTAAGAACCAAACAAAATGAGAAGCTGTGGTTATTTGTAAACAAAACTTCAGGTAGCAATTAAAACTGATATAAGGACTGTGGGAAGGAAAACAGTGGGGTACAGGTCCCTGGGATACATAGAGGACACAGACGAAGTTGTCTCTTCCAGAAAAGTTGGGGGCTGAGTACAAAGCTGGAGTCAGACTGGCTAATACTCTCTCTTGAGAAGAGTCAAGGGCCTGGGGTAGGAAGCAAGCTTCCTGGGGTGGAGAGAGGACGTGAGGCCACTCAAAAGGAGACACTGACCTAGGGCCTTGGGGAAGCTAAATGAACACAATCCGCCATATTTTAATATTCTCATCACTCAGGGAATATAGAAGCTGGTCTGCAGAGGCTGCTGCTGTGTAAGAACAGTTTAATAAGAAGGAAGAGATGAGGGACGCCTGGGTGGCTCAGCGGTTGAGCGTCTGCCTTTGGCTCAGGACATGATCCTGGAGTCCTGGGACAGAGTTCCACATCGGGCTCCCTGCATGAAGCCTGCTTCTCTCTCTGCCTATGTCTCTGCCTCTCTCTCTGTGTCTCTCATGAATAAATAAATAAAATCTTTAAAAAAAAAAAAAAAAGAAGAGTACCAGTTTGAAAGTGACAGATCGATTTGACTGAGGTTCTTCCACAATTTTCTGCAAATTCGCTGCCACTGTAATCATACAAACAGAACATAATGAGAAACTAAGTAAGTCCACTTTCTATCATGTTTTAAAAACTTAAATGGTAGCTTAGAATGGTCTATGTTCAATCAAAACGGAAGCAGAAAGATAAATTACTCTGCAAACAAAAGTTATCTTTTAAATTCAACTCTAAGTAGCAAAAATAAATCTGGAATCATGATCGAAATAACTTTAAGATGCTGTATTAACTGGGGCAAGACACACAGGTGAAAGGGGGCACCTGGGTGGCTCAGTCGGTTAAGTGTCTGCCTTCAGCTCAGGTCACGATCTCAGGGTCCTGGGATCAAGCCCTGCATCTCACTGGGCTCCCTGTTCTGTGGGGAGCCTGCTTCTATCTCTCCCTCTGCCTGCCGCTCAACCTGCTTGGGTGCTCTTTCTCTGTCAAATGAATAAATAAAATCTTAAAAAAAAAAAAAAAAAAAAAAAAAAGACAGATGAGAGGTAAGATTTGCCTACTCATGGGCCAGAAAGCCAAAAACTAGGAATGGGCAAACTGGCCTGCAGCTTATTTCTAGTCTGGCTGTAGGCTAAGAATGGTTTAAAGACAACAGAGACAGGGACACCTGGGTGGGTCAGTGGTTGAGTGTCTGCCTTTGGCTCAGGTCATGATCCTGGAGTCCCGGGATCGAGTCCCACATCAGGTTCCCTGCATGGAGCCTACTTCTCCCTCTGCCTACATCTCTGCCTCTCTCTCTGTGTCTCTCATGAATAAAGTAATAAAATCTTAAAAAAAAAAAAAAAAAAGACAACAGAGACAGTGTATGGCCCACAAAGCCTAAACTATTTACCATCTGGTTCTTTATAGAAAAATTTTGCTGACTGGCCCTACACAATGGGTTTTTCCCTTCAAATAACATGTACCCATGGCCCGACTGTGCCTTTTCTTACTTTCTAATTATTATAGAAATAAACCTCTAATGAATTTTGCTTACCTCTTAACTCTACAAGGGCTGAGTTTCACCCTCCAAAGTGGATTAGATATGGCTAAGTTTAACTTGTAACACATGTCATCAATTCTACTAGAGTCTCCCAGCTTTCACTTACTATCACTGGAAGTCACAAAGCAAACTCAAAAATGAGATTTTTCTTTTTTTATGAGAAACTGTCTCCAATACCTATTATTTCAGTGGGCCAAGACCATTCCAAGACCTGTGAGATCTGCTCAATGGAATCAAAGTCTGCTTTTCTAGGTCCTAAATACACAGACAAAGACACGGGGGCACAGGGCAGAGCACAAAGTAGTTACCTATTACTAAATCCCTTCCATCAACCAGGCCGGCAGAAATGAGTTCCTGAGAGACACCCTCTGCTGTATCTGCAAGGACAAAGAAGAAGGTGCTCCATTTCTTGTGCACGCATGTCACTGCTAACTCTTAGAGTGGTTGGTGGCACTGCCAAGCCCACAGTAGTTCCTAAATCCACAAAACCAAGGAGGCTGGTGGGGTCTTCCTCCCACAGAAAGGTTTCTCCAACCACTGGGCTTACCTCAAGTAGGAAATTCTCTTAGGTCTCTACCAATCAGATGACCAGTATCAGATGCTCACTGTAAAGATAACTTACAGCTGACAGTGATGCTTCAGAGGAAAGTCCCATTCTGAGGGCAGCCCTGGCCCCGAGCCACATCAGCTCTGAGATGTGATGGCGAGTATGCAACATCTCCAGGGCTAGTACACTGGAATGATTTTTTCTTTTCAAGTACATCTTGAAAGAAAAAAATTGTAATCTCTTCTCTTTGGAGATCATACCCCAAGTTTTTTTGCTAAAGGCATTTTCTTTTTTATTCTGGTGGGCTTTTCTTCATATCTAGTGATTTTAGGTGCTACAATCTCATCAATGGTTGTAACAGAAATGAAAAGACAAGGACAGGGCATGCCTAACTGATCTCATCTCCAACTGACTCAGTGAGGCTGCTTCTTGAGGGCTGAGCCCTTGAAAGGAACAAGAGGACCTCTGGAGAGTGGATGAGTACACATTTGCACAGATGACCAGCGATTTGAATTAGTTTAAGATGAGACTCTTCCTGGTTCTAAACAGTGAAACAGATACACCTCTCCACATCTGCATCTGTTCTCTTTCATACTCAGTTGCTGATGATACCAAAACAGCAGGAAGAATGAACATGGCACACAGGACAAATGTACTGGCTGCTGGCCACCTCCCAAATCTGAATCCTGAGTAACAATGGCAAGAAAGAAACAAGCCTCATCCCAGGGAGAAGTTCATGGCCAGAAACAATGCTTGATAGGACTCAGTTTTGGCCTGGGGAGAGTAGCTGGGAAGTCTTACTTCTTCCTTGTCCTGTCATGGAGAAGGACAACCATATTCAGTGATGAGAGCGAGAACTCTGCACCCTGACAGGTGTAGATATGATTCTAGCTGTGTGAATGACAAGAAGTTACCTCCCCTATCTCTAAACCATGGTTTCATCATCTATGCAATGGGGACATAATCTTCCTTAGGGGGCTATTCTGAGAATTTAATGAGATAGAAAGCTTATTAGCACAATGCCTGGCCTAGTACACCAGGTAGTAAATTACAGCTACATTCATTACTGTCTGTATTATACTAGGTTTTAAAACAAGGTTAGTAGTAAATTGAATTTTTTATTTTATTCATATGTCACCCAAACCCTTTAAACCAGGAACATTTTCATCTTTTAAAAGCAAAATATATCTAAAGGACAAAAACATCACAATACATTTCATGAAATGATAAATTAGAAGTTATTTTGTTTTTAATGTTTTTGATGCCTCACCTCTCCCAGGAGTGAACTCGAATCGAATATCATTTAGTTCTTTTTTTGAATTCCTAAAAAAGAAAACAACGTGTAAAATAAATTTCTAGATTTATGCATATTGACTTTACCAACATATAACAGGAAAGAATTCAAGAAAGACCATTCTATTCCCACAGATCATATGATCTGTTCTATGAGCTCATATTTCAGGGCTCAAAGCAAACTACTAGGAGTGACCATCTAACTTTCATACAACCCTTTTAATTTATGTACTCTATTATTTATGTACTCATAAATTACTCCGTAATTTATGTACTCTATATAATTTATGTACTCTATATTAATCAATATAAAACCTTGGTGCTAATGGGAAAAGGGGATTAAGAGTACATTTATTGTGATGAGCACCAAGTAATGAATTGAATTGCTGAATCACTGAATTGTACAACTGAAACTAATATAGCACTGTACGTTGATTACGGAAATAAATAAATAGGGAAAAAAACCCACCAAAGCACAAACTAAGAAAAAACAAAACAAAAAGCCCCCATGAAAACAAAAACAAAAAGCCCTCATGCTTTTGAGGAGATTCTTATATGCCTACTCCCATCTCTAGTCCCTCTAAGATATCAAATAAACTAAGAGGAAAATGCATGAGCACAGGAAGGTATAATTAAAATGATACAGGATACGAAAGGGCTAGTATCCAAAATAATAAAAGAACTTATACAACTCAATACCAAAAAACCCCAAATAATCCAATTAAAAAATGGGCAGGATACATAAACATTTTTCCAAAGAAGACATCCAGATGGCCAACAGACACATGAAAACATCACTCATCATTAGGGAAACACAAATCAAAATCAAATGAGATATCACCTAACTCTCATCACAATCAACAACACAAGAAACAACATGTGTTGGTGAGGACGTGGAGAAATAGAATCCTTGTACACTGTTGGTGGGAATGCAAACTGGTGCAGCCACTGTGGAAAACAGCATGGAAATTCCTCAAGAAGTTAAAAATAGAAATACCATATGATCCAGTAATCACACAGTTGGATATTTACACAAAAAATACAAATACAATGATTCAAAGGAATACATGCACCCCTTTTACTGCTGCATTATTACAATAGCCAAGATACAGAAGCAGCCCGAGTGTCCATCGACTGATGAATGATAAAGAAGATGCAGTATAAACATATATACACATACAATTGGATTTTTTTTTAATTTTTTTTTTTTTTTTTATGATAGTCACACACACAGAGAGAGAGAGAGAGAGAGAGGCAGAGACACAACACAGGCAGAGGGAGAAGCAGGCTCCATGCACTGGGAGCCTGACATGGGACTCGATCCCAGGTCTCCAAGATCGCGCCCTGGGCCAAAGGCAGGCACCAAACCGCTGCGCCACCCAGGTATCCCTACAATTGGATATTACTCAACCATAAGAAAGAATGAAATCTTGCCATTTGCTCCATGTGAATGGAGCCAGAGAGTATAATGCTAAAGGAAGTCACTCAAAGAAGGACAAATATCATATGATTTCATTCACATGTGGAATTTAAGAAACAAAACAAATGAACAGAGGGGAAAAAAAAAGAGACAAACCTAAAAATAGACTCTTAACTATTCAAACTGATGGTTACCATAGGGGAGGTGGGAAGGCGGATGTGTGAAACAGGGGATGGGGATCAAGAGTACACTATGAACACTCAGTAATATACAGAATTGTTGAGTTATTGTATTGTACAACTGAAACACCATAAGATAACTGGAATTACATTATTTTAATACTGGAATTATATAGTAATAGTTAAAGAAGATCTGAGTTGTCTTAATTGATAACTTTGTTTTATGAATAGAATGAGACCAAATTAGAATACAACAGCCATTGCTAATCTAACAAGAATGCTCTGCAATCTTAATCTAACTACCTACAAAAGGAGAGGGTTAGAATGAGCAGATTGCCACCTATGGCACTTCCTGTGAGCAATCTGTCAGAGCCTATCTATATGACCCCAGCAAGAACCACTGATTTAGAACACTTTCTGTAAAACAGAGAAACAGACCAATTATATCCTTAGAGGATTTTCCCTTCATCATTTTAAGAACAAGGCCTTAATATGATCTATCACAATCAGAAAGCACTCCACTCTTGGGTCAGATGATCTGAGAGCCCATGATATATGGTCAAAATTAAAAGCCTAATCTTCAGATAAGCCAACCAAGTGCTGTTCCCCTAAAAACTATTCCTCAATTACAGACCGTACTCAATTACAGAACCTAAACTAGTTGTTTGGAAAAAATCATTAATGGAGAAACAGCTAAGAGAATGTGTGCACTAGTTAACATCCAAGTCCTTGTGCTGTTGTTATTACTTCCTTTTTCTTTTTTTTAAAGATTTTATTTATTTATTTTAGAGGAGGGGAGGAGCAAGAGAGAGAATGTTAAGGAGACTCCACTGAGTGTGGAGGCCGACATGGGACTTGATCTCACAGCCCTAACATCACGACCTGAGCCGAAACCAAGAGTCAGACACTCAACTGACTATGAGGGCAACAGTATTGCATCCCTGCAATGCCCAGCCCTTGATACTGGAGGGCAAAGAATCTTGCTGGTTACTCTCAGGCACAGACTATTAGAAAAAAGAGTCACTTTCAAAGATAAAACAGCATATTTAGAGTATTCAAAAGGTAACCAGAAGGTGTTTACTTACCTTAATCTGAGTACTAGGCTGATTGGGATCTTGGTCTCTTGTGAGCCTGCTCCTGAAGGCAGAGTCTAAAAAAACATCGAAAGGTATAAAGTCAGTGTATAAACTACTAAGCTTGAGGTGACTAATGGTCATCAGCAGAGGAAACATCCACGTGGCAGCAATTTCTTCATCTCTCAGTGAGGACAGATCAGTTGCTGGGACATTTCTTGCTATGGTAGGATGCACTTCGAGGCAGCAACAAGAGATGTCAGCCTGAGTTAAGCACAATTAGAAAGAAAATTCTCAAACCCACATGAAATGCCATACAAGCTATATTTGTATTTTGTATTATTCAGATGTCTCTTTCCCTCCACAAGGGTGAAAAACAATATAGCTGGTTTTTTTCCCTTTAAAAAATTCTGCCAGTGTATCATATAGCAATATACAAGGTAGGATCTAAACCAGCTGTCCCTTAGGAATCCACCTAGCCTGGAGGTCCCAAGTCTTTTAATGACTAAACTAATCCTCTCTGAAAACTGTAAGGTATCCCTTGCTTCCTAGAGAATATACATTCTACTGAAGTTTTTTATAAAGTGAATCTAGGGATCCCTGGGTGGCGCAGCGGTTTGGCGCCTGCCTTTGGCCCAGGGCGTGATCCTGGAGACCCGGGATCGAATCCCACGTTGGGCTCCCGGTGCATGGAGCCTGCTTCTCCCTCTGCCTGTGTCTCTGCCTCTCTCTCTCTCTGTGACTATCATAAATAAATAAAAATTAAAAAAAAAACACCTATGCTTTTAAAAAATAAAAAATAAAGTGAATCTAATCTTTCCATCAGTTTTCATAAGATAACTGTATCTTTCTAGATATGGCCGAAAGAAATGGGAAGCTTGCATTCGATAAAAAGGTGACATGAAATCAACACCATGATTACCTAGAAGCTCTCAGAGCAGGTCTCCAAAGGCAGACCACCATCAGATTGCAAAAGAAAAAAATCAGAACTTCCATCTTTACCTCTTTCAGTCTAAAATGTTAGGGAAAAAAAAATGAAGTCTCTAATATTTAATAAATGAACAGACTCTGGAAACCTCACTCCAACCATGGAGCATAAGGTCACGTGTTGCACACAGTATCTGGAGTTTCCAGAAGGACAACAGGGAGTGATTCACAGTGGGGTCCCTTATTCCCTTGACTGCTTTCAGTGTATGAGGATTTAATGATATTTGTGTGTGACAAATGATGTGCATTTATAGATATGCCATCACTTCAATAAAATCAACCCTCATAAAATTGACAAATATCTTTAAAAAAAAGAGTAATAAAAGAAAATCATGGATTGGAGATGTATTTATAATACAAGTGTAACTGAACAAAAAGGAAACAGAACTGACAATCCTAGTGTCAAGAGAACTTGGTCAGCTGCAGATGTAATACTGATCTCATAAAAAGTTGATGAGAATATCCCCAAATTTCTGAGGTTTGGAATGTTTCCATCGCTAACTTATCTTGCTGCTTGAAAACCTGTGTGATCCTTGAAAAGCTCTATTACCTGCATACAATGAAAACTGTGAGAAGAGAATTTCTAGTTTGTTTTAAACTCCACCACAACATCAGTTTCTGCTGTCTCCATCTACCCAGAAGGCCGACCATGAAAGTGCGCTCCTGCTTTACCTGAGCTGTTTTTGTTGGCTCTGCCGGGGGTGGGGGAGAGACGGGAGTTGGTTGTGCAGGCATGTGCCCAGCTGGCTGAGGTAGATGAGCAGAAATTTGTTCTGGAACTTGGAGTAAAGTACCCACGGGATCAGTTGTTGAAAATAGCTGTAAAAAACCAGACAGTGCTGCTTTAGCTGAATGGAAAGGGAAGCAAGTCTGCTGACGGGCAAGGAGAGCCTCCCGGAGTGACATTTTCAAAGCAGTTTCTGTGTAGTGCACTGGCACACCTCTACCTCTCTTGAATATTATTTCAAATGGAAGCCAAATATTTCTACTAGGTTTTTTTGTTTATAACAACTTTTTTGAGGTGTAATTCATATCCCACTAAATTCATCCACTCTAAGTATCCAATTCAATGGTTTCTAGAAAACTTATACTTGCGCAAATATTACTACACTCTAGCTTGAGAACATTTTCATCAACTCAGTTCTCTGGTGCTCATTTACATTTGACTTCTGCTGCCACACCCAGCCCTAGGCAGCCACTGATCTACATTCTGACTTCATCAGTTTGCCTTTTCTGGATCTTTCATATAAACAGAATGTATGCACTCTGTTGAATCTGGCTTATTTCACTTAGCACATATTTTTCAAGTTCAGCCATACTAAAGCCCATATAACACTAGTTCACATATTTATTTCTAATTACATCTATTCTATTCACTTTGCCCAATAAAATAGCACCTCCAAGATACAGATTTAAGTAGTAATACTAAATTACAAAAGCTCCATTTTTCTGGGAACCTTCCATTACATAAAAAGAAAGACAATTAACCAGTGATACATTAACATATCTGACATGCTTTTCAAAACAGATGTGAAGCTTTATAACCAACACAGACATTTTATATATATATATATATATATATATATATATATACACACACATATATATATATATATACACATATATATATAATTTTGCATGTTTGAAATATTTTTATAAATATTATGTAATGTAGGGGGAAAAAGACTGATGTTGAGTAAAAAGTCAAATTAAACATTCAAAATTACAAGTTGATGGGGAAAAATACTAAAATTTAGAGTTGAAAGAGAATAAAACTGAAAGGGCAACAAGAGAGGCTTAATAGCTGATATTATATAAACAAAATCAAGAGAAAAAGAAGTATAATTCTGTGTTCATTTACATCACACAGAGGAAATAAAAAGTACCTCTGGTTCTGGATTTTGAAAGAAAAACAGAATGTTAAGATTAATTTTGAAAATGTTAACATTGGGCAGCCCAGGTGGCTCAGCGGTTTAGCGCCGCCTTCAGCCCAGGGCCTGACCCTGGAGACCCGGCATCAAGTCCCACGTCAGGCTCCCTTCATGGAGCGTGCTTGTCCCTCTGCCTATGTCTCTGCCTCTCTCTCTCTGTGTCTCTCATGAATAAATAAATAAAATCTTAAAAAACAACAACAAAAAGAAAATGTTAACATTAAGTATTAGCAATATTTCAAAAGAACAGCTTCCAAATTCCAGATACATAATTACCTATAATAAGAACAGAAAGGTTAAAGAAAACCAAGCAATGAACTGATATGGAGAAACTGGAACCCTGTGCAGCGCAGGTAGGAATATAGAAGAGTGCAGCCACTGTGGAAAACAGTAAGATGATTCCTCAAAACATTAAAAATAGGGCAGCCCAGGTGGCTCAGTGGTTTAGCGCAGCCTTCAGCCCAGGGTGTGATCCTGGAGACCCGAGATTAAGTCCCATGTAGGGCTCCCTGCATGAAGCCTGCTTCTCCCTCTGCCTGTGTCCCTGCCTCTCTCTATATATATCTCTCATGAATAAATAAAATCTTTTTTTAAATCAAAATTTATAAAAAAAATAAAAAATAGAATCGCTATATGAACCAGCAATTCCTTTCTGAGTACAGACCCCAAAGAACTGAAAGCAGGAACTCAAACAGATATTTATGCAGCCATGTTCAGAATGAAATTATTCACAATAGCCCAAAAGTGAAAGCAACCCAAGTGCTATCCAGTCAATGGATAAACAAATGTGGTAGATATAGACAGTGGAATATTATTCAGCCTCAAAAGGGGAGGAAGGAAGGAAATCTGACACATATTACATCGATGAACCCAGAGGACATTATGCTGGGAGAGATAAGCCAGTCACAAAAGACAAATATTACATGATTCCACTTACATGAGGTATACATAGAATAGTACAATTCAGAGATGGTAGAATGGTGGCTGCCAGGGGTTGGGGGGAGGAAAAAATGGGGTGATTGTTCACGTGGAGATGGTTGGTGGAGATGACTGCACAACAGTGTGAGTGTACTGGACGCCACTGAACTGTACTCTTAAACATGGTTAAGATGGTAACTTCCATGTTACATCTATTTCACCACAGATTTTTTTTTTTAATTTTTTTTAACTTTTATTTATTTATGATAGTCACAGAGAGAGAGAGAGAGAGGCAGAGACACAGGCAGAGGGAGAAGCAGGCTCCATGCACCGGGAGCCCGACGTGGGATTCGATCCCGGGTCTCCAGGATCGCGCCCTGGGCCAAAGGCAGGCGCCAAACCGCTGCGCCACCCAGGGATCCCCAGATTTTTTTTTTTAAAGCTTTTATTTATTTGACAGAGAGAGCGCATGGGCTGGGAGGGGGGGCGGCGCACAGAGGGAAAGAGAGAAGCTGACTTCCCACTACACAGGGAGCCCAATACAGCTAGATCCCAGGACCCCTGGGGTTCATGACCTAAGCCTAAGGCAGATGCTTAACCCACTGAGACACTCAGTTGCCCCTTCACCCTAATTTCAAACATAACAAAGTAGTGAGGACAGAAGTGTGAGTATGAGGTGCCTGAGGGTCCATGTGGAGCTGCAATTAAGGCAAAAGGACAAGGAGATCACAAGAACAACTTTGAATTCTTTTTTAAAGATTTTATTTATTTATTCATAGAGACACACACACAGAGAGAGGCAGAGACACAGGCAGAGGGAGAAGCAGGCTCCATGCAGAGAGCCTGATGTGGGACTTGATCCAGGGTCTCCAGGATCACGCCCTGGGCTGCAGGCGGTGCTAAACCACTGTGTCACTGGGGCTGCCCACAACTTTGGATAATATGTAAAATGCCCTCTCCACTCAACTGTGGAGAAATTAAGAATTAGTCAAGACAGATTAAATTAGAGTAAGAAATAATCTTAAATTCTCAGAAGATTACATAAAGAAGTTATTTCTTACACACACTTCATGTCTATCTCTGGTCAGCAGAGGCTACATTTGTATATGTGCTGCCGAAGGGAGCACAGCAGAGGCTACATTTGTTATCATCCTCATTCAGGGATGCAGATTGTGGTGGTAGGGGCAAGGGGGACCCAAGGAACAGAAGGGCTCCTTCTGTTCGCATTTCATTGCCCAAAGTAACTGCCATGGCCATGAGTAACGAGGGATAGGGAGATGCAATTCTACCATGAAACAAAAAAAGGAGCCAGAAATCTTAGCGAACCACAGTTCTGATAGAAGTTGTCAGATACGGGGCCTGTAAATATACTGAAATACAGTAATTTATTTTCAGGCTTAAACAATACAATACTATGTACACAAATCCTGTACGTAATTGTGTGCAAAAATTTATATTGTATATTCCACAAATCAAGTGGAAAAAAATAGTACTTTTAAGCACAGGGCCAAAAACTGTGCTTGACTTAAGAGGGCAACTGATTTAAGAGGGCAAGCTATGTATCATTAAATCAAATACCGAGCTTGGAATGCAAGCTGCCAGAAAGAAGAATGTATTACAGGATGCATCCCCTGAAATGATTGTTGTCTTTAGTGATGGTTATCTTCATTGTAAGGAGCATAAGGCAGGCCAACCTAACAGTTTATTAGGATTCCCTATCACAAGAGGCAATAACTAAAGACAAGAATCTACATCATAAGAGAAACAATAGGGGGGGGGGGAAACAAAAAGGAAAGATAGCATATGACAAATTCCTGGACTGATTAATGCAAAAAGACTACCTTCCACTTCAAGCTGCCCAAGACTTAAAGTCATAAAGTCAGGCAAGAAAGGAAGAAACAACTTTCTGGGTCTTTAGGTCAACTTTTAAAGTGAGTGCAATGGCACCAACTTACTGCAGAAATCCATTTAAACTTAGAATTGATACCCCTGATGAAATCTGAATGCTATAAATTCTCATTCCCATTTAGGCACATATAAAAAAAAGTGCTTAACATTAAAGCAAAACAAAACAAAAGCACATAAACTTTAATGAATCAAAACCCACAACTACTTACCTCAGAATTTGATAATGATTCTTTCACTCTGGGAGACTAAAAGAAATACAAAAAATGCTTATTAACGTACAACTTAGGTTACTTGTAGTCAGTTCCAAACTGTTGAAATGTAAGTAAACTCCATTTCATTTTGATCCATAAGTTAAGTCACTGGTAACTCTAGTGAAAGTTTTCTGGAAAAAGAAAATATCATGATACTATTGTATTTTTTGTCCAGGTAGCCTTTAATACATCAATGTCTTACAGTATTCTAAGAGTTCATAACTTGAGGTTTATAAGCAAACATAATGGGACTCAAGGCCTAAGTTCTCAGGCAGCAGGGAGGTCACATTCTTCAAAGTACAATTCTTTCTACTGATTATGAACATATTATATACATAAAATCTCACACTAAATATAAGCCTTCAAACTAATAATTCAGCACATCCTCAAAGCAGAGTAATTTGGGTTATAGGCTTTAATGGAGAACACTCTTCAGCCAAAATTGAAAAACCAGTTGTGATCTGCCATATGAAAATAGAATCTAAATTTATTTAGTAAATCAGAAGTAGTGATTCTAGATATAGGCAACTGCAAAATACAACAACAACAACAACAAAAACCTCAACATATCTCTAAACAAATATCAATTTATGGTAAATTCTACTAAGCATAAATTTAGACTACTTAAAAGCTCAGCTTAGGTTTTTGTGAATTTTCATCACCATTTTATTAAGGAAATTCAAGGTTCAAGTGATAGCTAGTAAATCACAGAGAGTATATGGCCAAATCAAAACCTTTTCTTTAAACTTAACATTTGGAAATAATTTCAAACGTAGAGAGAAAAGCTATTAGAATAAGAATAGTACAAAGAACACAAGTATACCAGATTCACCCATCATTAACCTTTTATTCTTATCTGCTTTACTATTTAGATGTTCATTTTCTCTTTTTAAATATATTTATTTCACCAATCATATTTTTCCTGTACTGTTTGAGAATAAGTTGCATCTAACATAGCTGTTTTACCACTGAAGAGTCACTATGTATTTCTTTAGAACAGAGATATTCCCTTATATAACTTCATATTACTAAAGGTACCAACTTCAGTAAATTTCACAGTAATGTAAATTTTAATCATCTAGTGAAGGCATTTTCCAAATTCTCAGTACACAGTAATTGTTTTTCCCTTTGCAACTAATAGGCAATCTGTGGAGAGACACTTTAAGAATTGTAAACATCCTGTTCATCAAAATTCTCCCCTATACTTTGCATCCTCTGATGAACTAATCTTTATGACTGCTTTATCATGGCTATAAAATGATGATTTTCCAGTCCAATACTCCTTCACACTTACCAGTCAGCACTGGTAATTTACTGTAATAATGGACTATAGTCCTTTCCCACCACTTATTTATCCACCTATTCATTTTTGGCAAAGACTCATAAATCCCTATTTTTTAAAATGATTTGCAATTTATTACTGCACCTAATTATTTTGATAGTTAAATTCTCTCTAATTTGGTCAGTGGAAGCTCATTCAACTTGGCCCTTGTAATTTTTTTTTAAAGATTTTATTTATTTATTCATAGAGACAGAGAAAGAGACAGAGACAGAGAGAGAGAGAGAGAGAGGGGCAGAGACACAGGCAGAGGGAGAAGCAGGCTCCCTGCAGGGAGCCCAACGTGGGACTCCATCCCGGGTCTCCAGGACCAAGCCCTGGGCTGAAGGCGGCGCTAAACCGCTGTGCCACCGGGGCTGCCCCGGCCCTAGTATTCTAAAATTATGACTTTTTTTAATAAAAAAACTTCTTAGACAAAAGAAGATATTCCCAATTCATCTTGAATTTTCCGTATGTAAGCCCCAGGATCAGCCATTTCTCCAAGGAGTCCTAATTCTTTTAGTAGAGAATGACATTAAAGACTAAGACCTGAGCATAAATTGTGTTCACCATTATTGTCTTCCTGATTCTCTGTATACCTGGTAATCTTTGATTAGATGCCAGATGCTGTGAATTTTACCTTGTTGCATGCTGATAATTTTGTATTGCTATAAATCTTCTTAAGCTTTGTTCTGGAATACAGTAAAGTTACTTAGAAATTGTTTAATCCTTTTGAATATTGCTTTATGAGTTGTTAGTTGGATCTGGAGCAGTGCTCAGCCTAGGATCATAGGCTCCCCCAGTACTTAGACCAGACCTTTCTAAGAACTCTACCCAATGTCTTGTGAATTATAGGCTTCTCCACTCTGGCTCTCTGTGAGTGTTGGATGCTGTTATCTAGTCTCAGGTGGTTTTCTCACATGTATTTCTTAAAGAGTATTCTGCTGAACACTCAAAAGGGAAGCTCTATAGACTTCTAAGCTTCTCTCTGTGTGCAGCTATCTTCTCCATGGTACTTTACCTTATTGATTTTATCTGCCTCAGTCTCCTTGAACTCTTAGCCCTATTTCCTCAGGTCAGGAAAACATTCTTCAAGCTATAATGAAGGGAATAATCAAACAAACTGCTCCAGAACTGAAATAAGTCTTAGAATGGGCAGAGAAAGAACTAAAATAGTTATTATAACTGTAATTATTACAGTTATCTTCGAGAAATAAAACCTGAAGATGTAAAAATGAACAAACACAAAATCAAACTTCTAAAATATTACAATGTCTGCAATATAAAATAGATTAAATGGGAATGACAGCAATTAGGCACTGCAGAAGAAAAAATGAACTTGAAAGCCAGCAATAGAAAATGAAACTGAGTAAAAACAGAATTTTTAAAAAGTGAAAAAATCAGTGAACTGGCAATTTTAAGCAGCCTAGTATACAGGTTATTAGAGTCTTAAAGGTATGAAGGGCAGAAAAAAGTATTTGAAAATATAATAGCTAAAAAATGTCCCTATCTGATAAAAACTTAGAAACCCACAGATGCAAACTCAATAAATCCCAAGTACAAAAAACAAACAAACCCAGGCATACCATAATCAAATTGCTCAATATCGTTCAAAAAGGAGTATCTTAAAAGCAGCCATGGTAAAAAGACATAGAACTTATAAAAGAACAAGACAAGGATACCAGCAGACTTCTCAACAGAAACAATACAAACAAGAATTCAGGGAAACTTCTTTAAAATACTGAAAGAAAAAAACCTATCAATTTAAAAGTCTATACCTACCAAACATATCTTTTCAAAACAAAGGTGAAATAAAGACATTTTTCAGACCAAAAACCTCAAAGAAGTCACCACAAGTAGATCCACACTACAAAAAAATGTGGAGGGAGGTTCTTCAGAAAAAAGAAAATGATATAAAAGATGGAAATGTGGATCTATAAGAATCTTTATTATGAACATGTGCTGAATTTTGTCAAAGTTTTTTCAGAACATGTGGAAGAATACGAAAATATATTCTCTCTCTGTCTCTCATGAATAAATAAAATCTTTAAAAAAAAGTATGATTTTTCCTCTTGTTAGGCCTATTAGATTCTGTCAAAGTTTTTTCAGAATGTATGAAAATAGGAATGGTATTTGTTTTCTCTTTAGGCCTATTAATATCACAAGATTTCCTAATATTGAACTATCCTTGCACCCCACTTCCTTGATTATATTGTATATTTTCAATATAATTCAATATAGTTTTAAAAGAGTTTCCTCTTACAAACGAACTCATGTCATCAAAAATGGCTGTAACAATAACATAAGAGGGACGCCTGGGTGGCTCAGCAATTGAGCATCTGCCTTTGACCCAGGGCGTGATCCTGGAGTCCCAGGATCAAGTCCCACATCAGGCTCCTGCATGGAGCCTGCCTCTCTCTCTGCCAATGTCTCTGTGTCTCTCATGAATAAACTAATAAAATCTTCAAGGAAAAAAAAAATAACATAAGAAATACAGAAAGTTACTCATTCTGAGAACAAAGTACATAATTTTCAATGCTGTTTATACACCAGTGTGTCAGGTTATAGAAAAGGTACTATAAGTATTTCAGAACTACAAAATTTTAAATAAATTTTTCTTGCAGATAGCTAGGGGATAATAATCAGAATTGAAAATACTATAATTTATCTTCCCAAATATTACGTTTTGGCCAGAGAAAAAACGGTATCAACTCTTTCACAGGAGGCTAGAACTACAAGATTCATGTATCCCTGGCTTCCTCTGATTACTTTAAAATAACATTACCAAAAAATCAATTTAAAGAGGACTCATATGAAAAAAGGAGAAAAGAAACCAGTCGTACATTTAATAAACTCGTATAGAAATGAATATTTATATTTGTTATCTTTTGAAGAACTTTCCAAAGTTAGTTAAATTTTTGCCCATTTTCATTGACAAGGTCTTTGCAAACTTAGCTCTGCAAAAAGACTAGACTCAGACTTCATCTGACAAGACCAACAAATATTCAGTGTTGATAAGCAAAGTCTTAAGTGCTATGGTAGAGCAGATCTTTTTTTTTTTTTTTTTTAAGATTTTATTTATTTATTCACGAGCCACAGAGAGAGAGGCAGAGACACAGGCAGAGGGAGAAGCAGGCTCCATGCAGGGAGCCCAACGCGGGACTCGATCCTGAGACTCCAGGATCACGCCCTGGGCGGAAGGCAGGTGCCAAACCGCTGAGCCACCCAGGCTGCCCCAGATCTTTTAAGCAGAGATATACCACCTACTCACCACTCATACCACAAAAAGGTTCTAGGCAGTCAAGGCTGTGATGAATCTTAAACATTAATATTTCCCATATACATTTCTATTCCAGGGAATGAGTCCTATCAATCAACTTGAGGTATTAACTTTAGGCAAAAGTAATGGAAAAAAAAATCAAAACAAGACCTTTGTCTTCGCTGCTTATAGTGCGCGTATCCAGGATACACACACACACACACACACACACACACACACACACACACCGCCTATCCAGAATATACCAACTAAAGAAAGGTATACTGTTCCTCTTCAGGTCAAAGGTTAGCAGTCTTCAGGGACTGTTTTTTTAGGCTTTTGAGTTCAGTGATCTCTTCTGCAATGTCTAATCAGCCATTAATCTTATCCAGTGTATTCTCACCTCAGGCCTAGTAGGTTATATTTCTAGATTTTGCCATTTTTATATACTCTAAATATCATATTCAAAAAGATGCCAGTCTACTTTTCCATGTAGAATTAATTCCATGTAGAATTAAAAGGGCTCTTACTGTTGATAACTTGCTTGAGGAAATTCTGTCACTATCTTATTTTTTATATTTTAGCTGGTTAAGCTGAACAGAACCAGAGAATATAGTATTATCTCAGAGGCTTCAGACAAAAAGAGCTCTATATTAAGCATACAGTTTAACAAGACTTACTCTTAGTTGTGAAATTGCTGCTTTCCCTTCCTCACTTTCTTCATCAAATTCATCATCACTCCACTCCCAGCCACCATCTTCTGTCTTATGAAGGCGGCCACTGGAACCTGGTACTCTCCGAACCTGTACATGGATGTCGATTATGGTAGTGTTTATTATTTACTATATATACTATGTATATCTTTCACCCCTCACTTGCTCTCTGTGCTCCACTACCTGTCTTTACTCCAACCACTGACTTTCCCTATACTCTTGGACCCAAACATCATCCAAATCCTTATGTGAAGTCACAGGCCAAATCCTATTAGTGGTTTCACATTCTGAGGTTTAAAAAAATTTTTTTAAAACCTCAGCCCTCGGGATCCCTGGTTGGCGCAGCGGTTTGGCGCTTGCCTTTGGCCCAGGGCGCGATCCTGGAGACCCGGGATCGAATCCCACATCAGGCTCCCGGTGCATGGAGCCTGCTTCTCCCTCTGCCTGTGTCTCTGCCTCTCTCTCTCTCTCTGTGACTATCATAAATAAATAATAAAAAAAAATTTAAAAAAAAAAAAATAAAAAAAAATAAAACCTCAGCCCTCAAAATAAAACCAAGATAAAGAAGATTCTTTTTTTTTTTAATTTTAAAAATCACAATTATACCTTCAGTTTCAAGAGTACTGTAGCTGTGTAAGTTTTTCATTTTGGCATACTCTTCTTCAATTTATATTTCTCTAAGTAATGTGTTCTAATTATTCCCCCTAGATTTTTTTGGTTTTAGGAACTATCTACTACTGGACTTCCAACTATGAAAGATGAGAACTTAATCCTATTATAAACCCCTCTGACTCTTTTCTCAAGATACAGTGAAATTTCTCAAGATACAGTGTAAATTTTACAGTGATTTATCTTTGAAAAAGATAAATCTTTTTCAGTGTTTCCATGACATGATTATATAAATGAGATAATTAAGCCTAATTGTATAATTACCTTTCTTTCCTGTATAACTCTTGTTTCCAAGAATTAATATTTTTCTTATCTCTATGTACTTGTCATATTTAGCCTCCAATTCTCTCCCAGCTGTGTAAATCCCCTCTCACCACATCGCTATACTTTAGGTACTCATCAGGATTATCTTCTTGAGGAAGACCGTCACCCAAGCCTCCTGATCTGCTCCACCCTAGACTGGTTTCACACCAGGTCTGGACTTCAGATCTCACTCTATCACCTGCCACATGACTCCCTCTTTCTCAGTTTAAGCACTTCCTCCATTAACATGGCATGTTAATTAAAGCCATGCATTTCTCAACTTTTCTTGATTACAACCCACACTTCACTTATAGTTTGTCTGTTTTTAAAAAAAGGTCTAGGTTAGTAGAAATCACTTTCTTTCATAACATTGTATACAACTGCTTTGTTGTGACCAGACACACAGAGGAGCTACTAATGTCATTACAATTCCAATCCTGTCCATGATCTTTTCCCCTTCTCTGGAAGCTATAGGATCTTCTTTTTGCCTCTAGTATTCCGGCAATGTGCCTTAGTGCTGGCCCATTTCCATTCATTGTGCTACATACTTGGGCTCTTTCAATCTGGAAATTCGTGACTATCCTTTTTGGAAACTTTTCTTGAATTATTTCTTCAGTGACTTCCTTTCTTCTATTTTCTCCATTCTGTTTTTCTGGAACTTTTTACTCAAAGACTGAACCTTCTCAAATAATCCTCTAATGCTGCTGTCTTTTTTTTTTTTTTCCTGTTCTCTATCTCTTGGCCTTTTGGCTTTATTTTCTGGGAAATTTCCTCAGCTTCACCATACATCCTGTGTATTAACTATTTTCATTTCTTCTATAATGTTTCCCATTTCCAAGAGCTTTTTATTCATGGTGGTGTGTCTAAAAGCTCCTCTTTTTAAGTAATAGCTTTATTAAGATATAATTCATATACCACATAATTGACCCATTTAAGGTATACATCATTTTTTAGTATATTCCAAGCTGTGAAACCATCTCCATAATTAAATCTAGGTCACTTTCATCACTCCTCCATACTGCAAAAAAATCCCAGACCCATTAGTAGTCACTGTCCATTTCTGTATAATACCAGTCCTGGGCAACCTCAAATCTACTATATGTCTACACATTTGCCTATTCTGGACATTTCATATAAATAGAATCATATACTTTGTGGTCTTTTGTAACCAGTTTCTTATGATTAGCATAATGTTTTAAAGGTCCATCTATATTATGACATCTGTTAGTACTTCATTTCTTTTTATTGCTGAATAATATTCTATCTTATGGACATGTGACATTTATGTATCTATTCATCCATAGATGGATAATCAGGTTGTTTTCACTTTTTAGTTATTATGAATAATGCTACTGGGAACATTCATGTACATATCTTTGTGTGTATGTTTCCAATTCTCCCACATATGCCGAAGAGTGGAATTGCTGGGTCATACGGCAGCTTTGTTTAGTTTTTTTAGAAACCGCCAGACTACTTTCTAAATGACTGTACCATTTCACACTTTTATCACTAGCATGTGACGGTTCCAATTTCTCTACATCTTTATCCCACTTGTTGTCTTTTTTTATTTATTATAGTCCTCCTAATATGTCTTGATTGTTTTTTGTGTAGTGTGAAGAAAGGGCCAAATGTCACAACTCACTCTGGTAGCTACAAACAATGATTTAACAGTCTAGAATTAATTCATCAATTGTGTAACATACCTTTTCATTCTAGTAGACAGCAAACCTAGACATACTAGAGTAATTATATTTGCTGAATGAATATATCAAAGAATGCTAAAAGAAAGGATTGGAAAAAAGTGAGTAATACTTACAATTATTAACAAAGCATCACTTAACATATACTTTCAAAATGCAGAAGTAAGTTTAACCAATTTCCTAGGAAACCAGAGTTAAATCCCCATTTACCTTTTTAGCTCTTTCAGAAATAGTTGGTGCCCTCTGCAGTATTTTTTCTTGAAGAAATTCTTTATTCTGGAGAAGAAAAATAAATTTTTTTCTTACAAGTTTTACCAAACCAAAGAAACTGACACAGAAATATTCATTACAATTAAAGTAATTTTACATTACTACCACAGTTTCCCAATTTGGACAGAGCTTTAGTGTACTGAATGAACCAGGATCTATGAAAAGCTTGTTTTACCCTATATTCTTTGGGACCATGGTCCCACATTTCTAACTACAGCAAAATCCCACTTATCTGTTCTCTTTGGGAAATGAGATGTTTACTAATTCCGTAATAAACCCTGAAATAAGAGTTCAGTATTTTTCAAAGATTATATTTATAATGGCAAAAGTTAATATGCATTGTCCGTTATAAATTTAACCTGATGTTTAAATTAATTTATATGAAAAATAATTCTAGAGCATGTATCTTAATTACCAAAAATTATACAGATAATGCCCCCAGCTTTTATTTGATCTACCATCACTTTTCCAAACATTATCATTTAAGAAAAAGCAACTTTGGGCAGTGAATCTAATTTAGGTAACTGAGGAGTATCACATGAACATAAAATCAAAAGTAAGAATTTCCTACCTTTGCTTTTTGGAAAAATTTGTGCCTTAACAGTTCTGCTGCTGTTGGTCTAAAACCAGAAAAGAATGTTTTAATAGTTAATTCAAGTGTAACTGTGGGTTTCCATCTTCAAAAATGAAAACATGATTTCTTGAGCAGCAAGATAAAATCTCAGTGTTCTTCACTTTCCTTAACGGGCTAAAAAGCAAAAAGCAGGATAAACTAACTCGGTACAAGACACTGAGTAGAGAAGAAAACTCAAACAGAAATGTTGATTATAATTAATGTAGGTCCTTTGCAAAATTCATTAGTGAAATGTTTCTTTTGCAATCATGACTTCTTAGTGGCTTCCAAAATATTTGCTATTCTTTTCCCAAGAATATCATTTTTCAGGAAGACTAGATAATATTTACTTTAACAAGGCATAAAATATATTTAACTTCACAAAGAGGAAATGGACCAAATGAAGTCCTATGTCTCTTAACATATGCCTGCCTGCCAGCCTTCAACTTCAAGAGACTCTAAAAGTAATGTATATATTCTCCCAAATGAATCTCAACTCAGTTTTTAACTCAAATGTACAATTGGAATAAAGGCATCATCACTGTCAAATGTACAAACTTTTAGTATGACTGAGAATAAAGAATAAACAATCCTACACTTAAGAGACTGGATCTGGTACACTGCATATCTACCACATAACCCTCTCTAAGGTTCTGTATTATCTGGTCAAGCCCCTGAAGGCAGTGGTTCTTAAACATGACTGCATTATAATAGCTAGGACTTTCAAGACAAATCCTGACATCCAGGCTATATCCTGTACCAATTAAAGCAGAATCTGTGGGGGAAAACCCATGCACTGGTAGTTTTGAAAACTCCTCGGGTGATGCTAATGGGCACTCATGCTGGAGAACCAGAGCCTCAGAGGATTACTGTACAGATTAAGAGAACAGATGTAAAAGTGTGATACAAATTGAAAGTAGACATTACCCTTCCTATTTTCTCATTCAGTCAGGATTTCATTATATTCAACAGTTTGTACAACATTGCTTTTTATGATTCATCCCTTTCTTCTAGGATCATTTCTTTCTTTCCAAAGAATAATTTCTAGTTCTTGAAGTGGTAAAATGTGGCTGGAAACTCAATTTTTGTCTGAAAAAATCTTGATTCCATAGTTATTCTTGAATAGTAGTTTGACTAGATGGAGAATTGTGGGTTAACAGTTATTTTCTCTCAGCATTGTTCCAGCATATTCTGGCCCCTAGGCCTTTTCTGTTATTACTAAGAAAGTGGCAGTCAGTCTAACCTGCTATTTCTCAGTAGGTAATCTGCCCCCGTAGCTTGCATTTAATTAATTTAACACATGCTCTTTGCCTTTGTATCCGGTTTTGTGACCTGTGTACAAATGGAGAAAGGGAAATACTGCTTGGAATGCTGGGGGTGGGGTGGGGTGATTCTTTAATCTGAGGATATAGATATTTCATTAATTCTAGAAAATGCTCAGCCATTATTGCTTTTAATTTTGCTTCTCCCATTTTCTATCATCTCTCCTGTAAAGTCTATACATACATCTATATGTATAAACATGTGCGTGCACACACACTAAACCTTCCCATTCGATCCCCCATTCATCTTTCTTTTATATTTCCATTAACAAAAAATCTTTCTGTGTTGCATTCTGAGCAATTTCCTCAGTATACCGTAGTGTGATGAAGTTAAGAGCAGAAACTCCGTAGTTAAAACTGTATGGGTTGGAATTCTAGCTCCAACATTTATTAACTGTGTGACTTTGGGCAATGTCACATAACCTCTCTGTGACTCAGTTTCTTCATTTGTAAAACAGGAAATAACAGTGCCATCCTCACTGGTTTACTGTAAAAATTAAATTATATGTTGTGTTTATAAAAGTACTTGGTAACTTATCAGTAGTCAATAAATTACCTCTTTTTTGTTTTATTGGCTGTTCTGTTTAACAACCTACTGAAGTTGTTTTGTTTTTTTAACGTAGAAATGTTCTAAACAAGGTATAATTTTGGTTTACAAACTGGAAATAAGATGTTCTATAGCTTCTAGATATTTTTCTTTTATCTTTTAAAATAATTTTAGGCTTACAGAAGAGATACAAAGATAGCAGAGTTCCTATATAACTGTCACCAGCTTCCCTCAATGTTAACATTTTACATAACCATGGTATAATTATCAAAAAAGTTAACTAAAAATATTAACATTGCTACAGACTTTAAAACATTAATATTGGTACAATATTATAAACTACAGGCTTTATTTAGATTTCCTGAATTTTGCACTAATATCCTTTTTCTGCTCCAGGATCTAGCCATTTTACTTTTAGCTTTCATGTTTCCTTTATATCCTCCAATCTGTAAGACTTTCTCAGTCACCCCTTTCCTTACTCCTGAAGAGTGCTGTTAAGGGAGTTTATAGCACATTCCTCAATTTGGGTTTGTCTGATGTTTTCTCATTACAGACTGAAGTGAAAAATTTGGGGAAGGAATACCTCGGAGGTGATATGCCCTCTGCCTTTTATCATATCTGGGAGTATATAATCATCAGTTTGTCTTATTAGATGATGTTAAACTAGATCACTTGTGAAGGAGGTGTCCACCAGGTGTCTCCACGTTAAAGCTATTTTTCCTTTTTCATATTCTATTTATCAGAACACTAAGTCTAGTGTCAAGGGAATCTGCTAATTTTAAATTTTAGTTACTAGGAGCTCCATTTGTTTTGCGTTTTAGTCATAGTCATATTATTCTTTTTTATGGTTTTGATTTCCTCCATTAGGATTTTAATTATTTTAAACATACTTATAGTCTTTTCAGGTATCTTTGCATTATCCAAAGTTCTTGGAGCACTAATCCTTCTGCTTGCTGTGTTTGCTGATTCTAGTCTGCTGTTTGCTGACTCTAGTCTGCTGTGTATTTTATAATTTCAGCTTGAGATCTCTTCAGGGCATTACTTGCAGGAATCTCATCGATCTGGAATTTGGAACAATTCAAATGGTCCAGTTTTCTAATTGCTTCTGCCAGAAATAAAACTGGCTTGGCAATAATTTTTTTTTATTCTTTAATTTGGTGGGTTCCTGGATAATATGGGTCGTATAAATTCAGACTCTCAACTTATAGAATGTCCAGGTCAGAGGACTGGATTATTCAGGAGAGATTTGTGTTTTTGTGATGATGGTCACATATTTTGTCTTCTGGTTTGTCCTTTTACTCAGAAGGCTGACTTGAAAAGGTGCTAGCCATAAACAGGGATCTCAGTTCAGAACCCCCATTGGCTATGGCCCAATATTTCATTTCCAGCCCCCATGTGGAAGTTAGAAATCTAACCGAGCGTGTTATTAGAATGAAGAGTGTCCCACTGAGGGTAGCTACGGGATTAGCTCATGGTATTTCTTCTCTGAGTTAGGTCTTCCTTATTATTTCTAGCACTCAAGGGCCTCCCTTTAATTGCAAGCTTATCTCTGGATTTGGTTTTGTAAATTTGACAAATTTATTCAGCATTTCTAGGTTTTTGCAACAAAAGAATTGTTATTCTTGTCAATTAAGCAGAAGCAAAAGTGTTCCCTATCTTTTATACCAATTTATTCAGAAATAGGAAAAAAGTTCTAACAGCAGAGGTTTAAACTTTGCTACCTGTTTTCTTACCCTTTCCAATATTTCCAACAGTAAATTCTGAAGCCTCATGAAATATACTAAAGACATGACTAAGGATGTCAAATAAAATATTTATTTTTGTTATCATTAGAGAAATCAAAATTTAAAAATTCTCAGTGCTAAAAAAATGAGTGAAATATATATGTGAAATAGAAAAATGAGATACAGTGGAAACGGCCCTAGCTAAGGAATCAGAAATTTTTTTAATGAAGATTTTATTTATTTATTCATGAGAGACACAGAAAGAGAGGCAGAGACACAGGCAGAGAGGGAGGAGAAGTGGGCTTCATGCAAGGAGCCCAATGTGGGACTTGATCCCAGGAATCCAGGATCAGTCCCTGAGCCAGCTGTCAGAAGTTTTGGATTCAAGTCCCACCTCAATAACTAGGTAGAGGTGGTTGACCTCAAAGATAAAACACTGACTCAACGACTTCCTACATCTATTTGATTCTGTTTAATTCATAAAGATACATACCTTAGATTATCATATTTATTTACTTACTTGCCGTCCAATCTGTCTAGTGTTAACAAGTAAGTGCTTTGCATTTTTGGTCTACTCATTAAAATATCTTTCCAACAAGGCAATACATATGATTATTTGGCATTAGATATAACATTTGCTATGTGTATTTCTTTTATTATTAAAATTATAAACAGTATTAAAATAATTGCTTATGACTTTTAATACAAATTGAAAACAAGCTATCCCACTAACATGGGATTTTATTAACACAGAATTCACAACATATAAATTAAAAAAAAAGTTAACCAGGGCAACCCGGGTGGCTCAGCGGTTTAGCGCCACCTTCAGCCCAGGGCCTGATCCTGGAGTCCCGGGATCGAGTCCCACGTCAGGTCCCTGCATGGAGCCTGCTTCTCCCTCTGTCTGTGTCTCTGCCTCTCTCTCAATCTCTCTCTCTCTGTTTCTTATGAATAAATAAATAAAATCTTAAAAAAAAATTAACCAGGAAACATGAATTTTAGAATATGCCATATACTAAAAAGAAGGGAGAAAGTAATTCATTCATTTCCAATCTAGTTGTAACAGTCTCTCTATATTTTTTCTAAAGTTTGTATTCAAGTAGATATAAATATATTTGAATACGCACAAATAATTTACTTCACATGAATTTATGTATGTACTAGACTTCCCACAATGGTTTACAATATTAGATGAAGAGAAACATAAGCTTTAACTCATATTTTACCTTTTTTCTGGATCCTTTTGAAGGCACAATGAAATCATTTTCCTAAACGATTTTCCATATTTTTTCAGCATTTCTTTGTCTTGAACACCAGTTTCCAAAGAAGGAGGATCATTTTGTAGTGTCAGCATTAGAACCTGGAAGAATTTTCAATATAACATAAACTTCTGACAACTCAGTAAAGTATTATGGCCAGAAGTCTTCAGTATAGACAGCCTCTCAACACATAAGCAGTTCACTACTGGACTAGTTATTGGAACACAGAGTTATTTGGATATTTTCCACACAAATAATATCCTACATATAGCTGGCTTCCCAGGTGAAATGCCCACAAGGGCCCAACTGTATCAGCACTGAATGACCTTTAGTTAGAACACTTTCTTCATATCCTCTGTTTCCATTTTTATACTGCCAAACCATAAAAAAAATTTTAAATCACAACAAATAAAACTCAATCAAGTAATAAATAATAAAATAATAAAAATAAATAATAAATATATAAAGCCATAGCAAAATTAAAAATGTGATCTTGCTGATTTTATTTATTCATAGCTCTGTTTTAACGTGACCCCTTATAATCTGACCTTCTCTTCCAGAACTCCTCAGCCACTTCTATCACAGAAATCACTGATGATGCCTAGGTAACAGGCTTTTTTAGTTCTCACTCCTCCTACTTTCTCTGAAGTAACTGACAATTTTGATTATTCTGTCCATCCTAAGTCTCTTCCTTCTTTTTGACTTTCATGGTAACATACTAGCTTGATGCACGTAGGTATTAGTCATGAAGGTCATATTTATATAGTGGGATTTAGGGTGACTTTTTTATTCTGTGTGACTTTTTTATAAAAGCACAAGCCAATTTCCAAACACATAGTCAACAGTAAAGAATAAAAGGGGGCTGCAGTCAGAATTAATACATGCTTTTCAGATTCAATTTATATTTACTGAAATGATATCACTAAAGCATAGAGGTGTTTCTCATTCTGAGCAAACAGGCTAACATGTATGTCTGGGCTACAATTACAGGACTCACTGCCTGCATATAAACCTCATTTCCTCCCCCAACTCCTTTTAAAAAATAAACCATTCCTTTAGCCTCAAAATAGCTTCCCACTTAACAGTTTTAAAAACTCATCCTTCTCAAATCCATTTATTCCTAGGAGCAGGCTCTGAAAAGAAACTGGGACATGAGCTAGGGTGGTATTTTGACTATGAACTTCACCTTCATTGGGGGATACTTATGATAAGGAGCCGCCCCTGTGGCCAGTTCAATTGCTGTGATCCCGAAACTCCAGATGTCAGCTTTGAAATCATAGCCTCGGACCTGTAAAGAACATAAAGATGTACATGATTACTTTTAACACCCTAAAAGCACTTTAATGTAATTCAATTTATTTTTGTTAGTAATGTCTATACCCAATGTGGGGCTTGAACCCATGACCCTAAAATCAAGTGTAGTATGTCCTTCTGGCTGAGCCAGCAGGCACCTCTAAAAAGCACTTTTAAAAGGTACCTTCTAATATGTATCAAGAACCATGGAAGCATTCATAAGCTTTTTTTTTTTTAAGATTTATTTATTCATAATAGAGAGAGGCAGAGACACAGGCAGAGGGAGAAGCAGGCTCCACGCAAGGAGCCCGACATGGGATTTGATCCCAGGTATCCAGGATCACGTCCTGGGCTGAAGGCAGAGCTAAACGGCTAAGCCACCTGGGCTGCCCCATTCATAAGCTTTAAACCATGAAAATAATCTAGGTAAAAGCCAAAGGTACTTGATAACAGAAGAAAAAAAGAAAAAGCAATCTGAATGAACATTCCCCAACAAAGGGGAAATTATTAAGTATGGAATATTCACTTAAATGTTATATAGTCAACTAAAAGCTATGTAAATGAATTTTATATGAAAATATGGAAAACCACTCATGACACAGCATTTATGAAGAAAAAAGAACACAAAATTCTTCACAAGTTTTGATACTTATTACATAAGTATAAAATCTGTTTATTTTTTAGAAAAAGGATAGAACTAGAACATAATTATTAGGCAGTAGTGCTAAGTCTTTCGTTTTCCAAATTTTCTGATATGGTATTATCACCTGAATTTTTATAAATGAAAAAGGATACAAGGGGTATGAATATTTTCAAAGCTGATATCAAAATATTGCCAAATTTCTGTCCTTTTATACTGCCATGAAAACATTATAAAATTAAATATTTTCATTTTCTATTCTAAGCAACACAGAAGAAACAGGTAGGAGGAATGTATGCTTTGAGACCTGAAACTGAAGCTCCATATAATATGCTGCCTTGACATCTGGCAAAAGTAAGTGGGCCTCTAATGAACTAAATGCAAGTTCCCCTCCTCTCCCCAGTCTTCTAAGGATAAGGTCCCTTGCCCAACAACCCTGCTTATCAACTGGGCCAGGCCAAGTTCTTGCTCAGGCTTGAGTAGCAGATTTCAGCTCCCTAACAGCCCTCAGAATTATTCAAACAAGCCAGTCACCCTCACAAGGAATCTGGAAACCAAGAGGCACCTCACTCTCTTGATACTATAAAGGCTGTTTCCCATGGCAACTGTTTATTCACTCTCTTTCGGAGTGCGGCCCTCCGTGTGATGTGTAGTGTGCTCCTCCCCGCAGCTGTGTGTGTACATGACTAATACACTGCTGTCAGTCTCACCAGTCCGGTGTCAGGTGTTCAGCATCTGCAGAGTGGGAGTGCTTCCCACCAAAAGCATGAATACAGGTATTACATACAACAGAGTTAAAATTAAAAGTGAATTCAGTTCTCCATACTGACTTTGATATACTTAAAAGACATTTACGTAAAACGTCTATAGGAAGCTAGAAACCTCCATCTAGAGGCTTAGGAAATAAGACTGGCATGGATATAAGTTAGAAAACATAATAGGTGGGGGCCACCTGGTTGGTTCAGTTAGTAGAGCATACAATTCTTGATCCTGGGGTTGTGGGTTCAAGCTCCACCTTGGGTGTAGAAATTACTTAAAAATAAAAACTATAGGTGGGGGTGCCTGGATGGCTCAGTCAGTTAAGCATCCCAGTCTTGATTTTGGCTCAGGTGATGATCTCAGGGTCATGAGATCAAACCCTGCATTGGGCTCTGCACTGAGAGTCTGCTTATCCCTCTCCCTACCCCTCCATCCCTCTCCTGGCTCAGTCACGCTCCCTGTCTCAGAAAAATAAAACCTTAAAAAAAATCTTTAGGGGGGCAGCCCCAGTGGCGCAGCGGTTTAGCGCCGCCTGCAGCCTAAGGCGTGATCCTGGAGACCCTGGATCGAGTCCCACGTCGGGCTTCCTGCATGGAGCCTGCTTCTCCCTCTGCCTGTGTCTCTGCCTCTCTCTCTCTCTCTCTCTCTCTCTCTCTGCAACTCTATGAATAAAAAAAAAAAATCTTTCGGGGCACCTGGCTGGCTCAGTTTGTAGAGCACACAACTCTCAATCTCAGGGTTGAGTTTAAGCCCCCCACTGCTGTGGAGCCTACTTAGAAATGAATGAATGAATGAGCGAGTGGATAAATCTTTAAAAAGAGGACACAAAAAACTAAAAAGAAAATATAATAGGTAGGAAGTGGAGATAAGACTAACTAGTGAGAGAAGAATTTAAGAACGAGGTTCAGGGAAATAAAAGGAAAGGCAAAAAAAAAAGTCAGAGACACAGCCTGGCTCAAGAGGTAGGGGAAGAATGAGGAAACTACACTAGGGAAGCTAAAACGTAAGTAAAGGTGGAAATGATCAACTATTTCAAATGACAAGAGAACACTGTTGACAAGGAATAAGAAATAAGCACTGATTTGAGAATTAGCAGAGTTTCCGTAAGATGATTAGATGAGCAACATCCAACTGTAGTTGTTGGAGAACAAACAGGAAATGTGGTTGTGGGCAAAACTAGTCCTTCAAGAACCATAGCAGTGAAACTACATGTACAAAGATTAGGTCATTTAATTTGTAACACGGAAACTATTAAACCAATCTTCATTTTATTATTCCTTAGATCATATGTAGCATAAATCTTTAGTTTCATATATCATTTGTAAAGAGCTATCGGTTTGTATTTCCCAAAGTTCCCAAAGTTAACCTTGCACTCGTATCCTCTACTTTTCAAAGTTCCCATTAAGCCATTTGGCTTATACGAAAGATCTATGGTAGTACCTGTTTACGCCATCAAAAGAAATTGGAAGAGGATTTTCACTTTTACAAAAAAAGTGAAAATGACATTCGGTATTTGCTTTCTAGTCAGCTATTATAGAGGCAGTGCCCATACTGAGCAGTGAGACTGGTGTCACCCAGCTCCTTCCCAAGGAACTACACTCAGCATCAGGCCACCACAGCTTTCAACTGTGAGCATCTATGCTTTATCTCAATTTATTTTGTGTGTTCAATAGCAAGATACATTCTGTGGTATCAGAAAGGCCTAAATGAGGTTATTTTGGGGTCTAGGGATGCTATAAAATTTTTACAAATAAATTAGTGGTAATTGCTTCTTTGCTTTGTGCCATTTCAGCTTACAAAAGGTTTCACAGAACAAACTACTTTCCATTAGTAGGGGAACCTGTACACCAACCAAAAGCAGACACTACTCTGTTTTCCACCATTCTGCACAAAACCATACACCATTTAAAAGACAAAGTACCTGTTCCATAACTTCAGGTGCCATCCAGCAAGGAGTTCCAACAAAGGTCTTTCTCACTTTATTTCGGGTAATATCACCACCAGTTGCTAAAAAAGCACTAACCCCAAAGTCTGAAATAGATATAAGACCAAGGTATTAGAACACAGATGGGTAGGAAAATGACATAGTTCTACATACAAACATGACATTTTCTTTTTTCCACTGAAATTCTTGACTAAATTAAGGTCCCTCATTCCACTCTTCACCCTCACACATCACTATCTCAGTAGATTTTCCTCCTTGCTCCAATCCATTCTTATTAGCACCCTTCCAGACTAAAACTCTGTACCCATTACACAATAACTCCCCATTCTCCTTCTCCCTAGCCATTGGCAACCACCATTCTAGCTTTCTGCCTCTATGATTTTGAATACTCTAAGGACCTCGTATAAGTAAAATCATACAGTATTATTTGTTTTTTGTAGTTGGGTTATTTTACTTAGCATAATGTCCTTGATGTTTATCCATCTAGTAGCATTATTACAGAATTTGCTTCCTTTATAGGCCAAATACTATTCCATTGTATCAATTTTCCCAATACCACTTATGGAAGAGACTGTCCTTTCCCCATTGTATATTCTTCGCTATTTGTAAATAATACTGCTGTGATCATGCACATTTCTTTTCTTTTTTTTTTTTTTTTTGCACATTTCTTTTTGAGTTAGTGTTTTCATTTTCCTTGAATACCCAGAAGTGGAATTACTAGATAATACAACAGATCTATTTTTAATTTTCTGAGGCACCTCCATATTGTTTTCCACTAGCTGCACCAATTTACATTCCCATGGACAGCACATAAGGTACTGGTTTTTCCACATCCTTGCTAATGCTTGTTGTTTCCAGTCTTTTTGGAATAGAATAACCATTCTAACAGGTGTGAGATGTTATCTCGATGTGTGTGAGGATCTCATTTGTATTTCCCTAGTAATTAATGATGTAGAACATCTTTTCAATTTATCTGTTGGCAACCTGTATGTCTTCTTTGGAGAAATGTCTATTCAGATCTTCTGCCCATTTCTTAAATGGATTTTTCAGTTTTTGATATTGGGTTGTACAAATTCTTTATGTATTTTGGATACCAGTCCCTTACCAGATATATAATTCACAAATATTTTTTCCCACTCAGTAGGATGCCTGTTCATTTTGTTGATTTTCTTTGCTGTGCAGATATTTATTTTGATACTATTTGTTCATTTTTGCCTTAGTTACTTTTGCTTTTGGTGTCAGTTTCAAGACCTAGATCAAGGGGCCTGCCATCCATGTTCCCTAGGTATTTTATGATTTCATGTCTTACACTGAAGTCAATTTTTGCATATGATGTAAGATGGTGCTCTAGTTTCATTCTTTTATATGTGGTTGTTTAATCTTCCCAATATCATTTATTGAAGAGACTATCCTTTCCCCATTGTATACTCTGGACTCCTTTATGATAAATTGTTTGTTTGTGTGTGGGTTTGTATCTGGGTTTTCTAATCTGTACCACTGATCTATGTGAATGTTTTCATTCCAGTATTATATTGTTTAATTATTACAGCTTCACAAAATACTTTGAAATCAGGGAACATGATGCCTCCAGGTTTGTTCTTTCACAACATTGCTTTGGCTCAGGGATCCCTGGGTGGCGCAGCGGTTTGGCGCCTGCCTTTGGCCCAGGGCGCGATCCTGGAGACCCGGGATCGAATCCCACATCGGGCTCCCCGTGCATGGAGCCTGCTCCTCCCTCTGCCTGTGTCTCTGCCTCTCTCTCTCTCTCTCTCTGTGTGACTATCATAAATAAATAAAAATTAAAAAAATAAAGCCTATTATGGTTTTTAAAAAAAAAAAAACATTGCTTTGGCTCTTTGAGGTCTTTTATGGTTCCACACAAATTTTACAACTGTTTGTTCTATTTCTTTGAAAAGTGCCATTATAATTTTGATAGTAATTGCACTGAATACTACCTATATGGTTTTGGGTAGTATAGTCATTTAACAATACAAACTCTCCCAATTCATAAGCACAGAGTATCTATGTCTTCAACTTCTTTCTATAATGTCTTCTAGTTTCCATATACTGGTCTTTTACCTCTTTGGTTAAATTTATTCCTAGGTATTTTAGTTTTTTGATGCAACTGAAATTGGATTGTTTTCTTAATTTCTGATAGTTCATTATTAATGTACTGAAATGCAACAGATTTGCATGTACTGATTTTGTATTCTGCAACTTCACTAAATTTGATTATTCTAACAGTTTTCTGATGGAGCTTTAGGGTATGCTATATTTAGTAACATGTCATCTGCAAACAGTGACAGTTTTACTTCTTGCTTTCTAAATTGGATGCCTTTAATTTCTTTTTCTTGCCTAACTCCTCTGGCTAGTACTTCCAATACTATAGTGAGAATGGGCATCTTTGTCTTGCTCATGATCTTAAAGGAAATGCTTTCAGTTTTCTACCATTAAGTATAATGTTAGCTGTGGGCTTATCATACATAGCCTTTATTATGTTGAGGTATGTCCCTCTATACTGGCTTTATAGAGAAAAATAAATGTATGTTGAGTTTTGTTATATGCTTTTACTGCATCTGTTGAAATGATAATTTTTATCCTTCATTTTGTTAATGTGGTATATTATACTAATTTGCAGATTTTGAACAATCCTTGCATCCCTGACATAACCACTACATCAAGGTGGATGGTCCTTTTAATGTATTACCGAACTGAGTTTACTAATATATTTTTTTATGATTTTATTTATTTATTCATGAAAGACAGAGAGAGGCAGAGACACAGGCAGAGAGAGAAGCAGGCTCCTTGTGGGAAGCCCAATGCAGGACTCAATTCCAGGACCCCAGGATCACACCCTGAGCCAAAAGCAGACGCTCATCCACTGAGCCACCTAGGCGTCCCAAGTTTACGAATATTTTTGTTGAAGACTTTTGCATCTATGTCCATCAGAGTGATTTTCTTTTCTTGTGGCATTCTTGTCTGGTTTTGGTATCAAGGTAATGCTGGCCTCATAAAATATGTTTTAAAAAGTACCTGCCTCGGGCAGCCCTGGTGGCACAGCGGTTTAGCGCCACCTGCAGCCCAGGGTGTGATCCTGGAGACCTGGGATCGAGTCTCCTGTGGGACTCCCTGAATGGAGCCTACTTCTCCCTCTGCCTGTGTCTCTGCCTCTCTCTCTCTCTCTGTGTCTCTCATGAATAAATAAAAATAAAATCTTTAAAAATAAAAAAATAAAAAGTTCCCCCCTTACTATTTTTTGGAAGAGACTGTGAAGGATTGGTATCAATTCTTTCAATGTTTGGTAGAATTCACCAGTGAGGCTGTCTGGTACCGGACTTTTACTTGTTGGGAGGTTTATGATTCCTGATCCAATCTCTTTACTAGTAATTGGTCTGCTCAGTCTTTCTAATGCATCATGATTCAGTCTTGTAGGTTGTATGTTTCCAGAAATTTATCCATTTCTTCTAAATTGCCCAATCTGTTAGCATATAATTGTTCATAATAGTCTCTTGCCCTTTCTATAATATCAGTTGTAACTTCTCTTTCTTTTTTTTTCATTTCTCGTTTTATTTACTTAAATCCTTTTTCTTGGTGAATCTAAGCTAAACATTTGCCAATTTTGTTTATCTTTTCAAAGAACTAGCTTAATTTCAATGATCTTTTCTATTGTCATTATGTAGTCTCTATTTCATTTATTTCTGTTCTAGTCTTTGTTATTTCCTTCCTTCTGCTAACCAGGTTTCATTTTTTTCTTTTTTTGTCTAGTTCCTTGAGATATAAAGTTGCTTGAGACTTTATTTCTTGGGGTAAGCGTTATCACTATGAACTTCCCTCTTAGAACCAAGAAATAGGTGATTCAAGGGGTAGGGGGAAGAAATGCTTTTGATGCATCCAATAAATATGGTATGTTACATTTCCATTTTCATTTGTCACAAGGTTATTTTTTAGTTTCTTCACTGACCCATTGGTTGTTCAGTAGCATGTTGTTTAATCTCCAAATATTTGTAAATTTTCCCATTTTCTTTACATAAATTTCTAGTTTCATACCACTATAGAAAAAATGCTTGATTTGATTTCAGGCCTCTTAAATTTATTAACACTTATTTTGTGGCCTAACATATGATCTGTCTTGAAAAATGTTCCATGTGTACTTGAGAAAAATGTGTATTCTGTTGCTTTGGGATAGAATGTTTTATAAATGTATGTTAAGTCTATCTGATCTAACGTTATTGTTTAAAGCTGATGTTTCCTTCTTGATTTTCTGTCTAAATGATCTATCCACTGATTTAAATGGGAGTATTAAAGCCCCTTACTCTTACAGTATTACTGTTTATTTCTTCTATTAGGTCTAATAATATTTACTTTATATAATTAGATGCTTCCATGTTGGGTGCACAAATATTTACAGATGTTTTATCTTTTCAGACTGACCCTTTTATGAATATGTAATGCCTTTATTTATGGTCTTTGTTCTAGAGTCTACTTTGTCTGATACATCTACTTGACTTGTGATTTTTATCATTTGAATCTTCTTTTTCCCTAGTTCATCAAGGTAAAGGTTTGTCAATTTTGGTGATCTTTCAAAGAATCACCTCTCTACTGCTTTTCTTTTCTTTTCTTTTCTTTTTTCTACTGCTTTTCTAGTCTCTACTTCATTTCCTTTATCTCTTCTCTAAATTTTGTTATTTTCTTCCTTCTGTTAAGTGTTGGGTTTAGTTTTTCTAGTTCCTTAAGGCATAAAGTAAGATGGTTGGTTTGCTATCTTATTTTTTAAATAAAGTGTCTCTAGCTATAAACTTGCCCTTTGGCAATACTTTTGCTATGACCCATAAGTTCTGATATATCGTGATTTTGTTTTCATTCATCTCTAAGTATTTTTTAATTTCCCTTGTGAAACTTTCCTTTATCCATTGGTTGAGTGTGTGTGGTTTAATTTCTGCAAATTTGTAAAATTTTTAGTCATCTGCTATTAATTTCTAACTATCCACAGCGGTCAGATAAAGTATTTTGTATCTTTTAAAGTAGTAGTATCTTTTCAATATATCTTTTAATAGTATCTTTTAAAATCTGTTGGGACTTGGGGTGC